CCCCCCCCCCCCCCCCCCCACGCCCCGTCGAAGTCGTCCATTTCCCAAGAAGGCCTGCGAGCCATGCCCTCGCGCCGATCTGCCCCTCTCCTGCTGGCACTTGTTGCCTCTCTCCAATGATGCAGCCACGGCAACCCCAGGGGGGCTCCCTCCACCTTGCCCTCGGGGAGTCCCGCCTCTCGGCGTCGAGGTCGGGGCCGGCGTCCAGCCGCCGGCCGCATGAAACGTCCCCCGGATTTACGCCGATTCCCTTTCCCCGACGAGGCACCATGCGCCAGCTCCCAGCGTCGACTCGATTGCCTTCGGCCCGCCCATTGGCAGCTCGTGTTCCCCCCCCCCCCCCCTTTCCGAGGGCGGGCTGGCAAAATTAGCCCCGCACAAATACGGCCCCGATGACGGCAAACGAGCGTGCGTGGGCGGGGCAAGGGGATATATGGGGGGGGGGGGGGCAGGGAGTGTCGGACGAGAAGGGCGACAAAAAAAAGGACACAGAGAGAAGAGCAGCGGTCTATTAGGGAGGCTTCGAGGCAGGTGTCTTCCCCCGACGCTCAAATGTAGAAATGGACAAGATCCTCCGGCCCGTCGGGCGTGTCATTCAGCTGGTCATCCTGATTGTCGGCAAAGAAGTTCAGGGAGAAGGTGCGGAACTTCTCCTCGCTGCTGCCGCCCGGGCCGAACACATTCGACCCGGAGGCCGAGATGGAGGCCTGCCACTCGCGCTGTACCCGGTCCAGGGTGAAGGGCTTCTGCGGCAGGGCCGGAATCGTCGGCTCGGTGGCGCCAGTCTCCGGCCCCTCGTCGGCCCCCTCCTCCAGGCCCTCCAGCGGGAAGTGCAGGATGGCCGCACAGCCGGTCAGCGCATCGAGACGCTCGCCGGCCGGGTGGGCCGACTTGAAGATGTGCACCCGACCGCCGGTCAGGGTCACTTGATTCATCAGCTCCGTGTACTGGTCCCGGTGGGCCTGAATCGCCTGGGCCAGGGCATTGACATCGTAAGCCGATCCCGGAGGGCCAGGCTCCAGGCTGACGTTCGTCCCACGGACCACGGTGTCCGTCACGAGCAGCACCTTCACAGCGCTCATGTAGGCCGCGGCCTGGACCTGGGGGAAGGCTGTATAAAAAGGGCCGACAGGAGGCGGCACCGCGGGGAGAGGGATGCAGAGGGAGGCGGGGAGAGAGAGAGGGAAAAAGACAGAAAGAAACAACGAGACAGAGAGGGAGGGCGAAAGAAAGAACACATGGGGTAAGCAGGGAGTCGCCCGGGAAAGACCGGTCGCCCGGAAGGGAAGGAGGAAGACATGGGAAAAAAAAGGACCGGAGGCGAGGGGGCGAAACGCACAATACGTCGTGAGCATGGGATTGTTGTTGAGCGAAGAGAAAAACTCATCCAGCACAACAACATCCTTGGTCAAGGGCTCCTGCGCCAGGGCCCGCGAAATGTTCGGATCGGAGAAGATCTCTGCCAGGGAAGACACGTCAGCAGCAAGCACCACACCTCCCTGCCTGACACACACACACACACACACACACACACACACACACACACACACACACACACACACACACACAGACACATGCCCCGCGATAAGGATGCCCCCGTCGCGTACCCGTGATGGCGCTCTTGTGGCCGCTGGAGCAATGCCCGACAATGATGTGGGGCAGCATCGCCCGAATGTCCTTTGTGTACTTATCGGCCGGGACCTTTCCGAGGAAGTCCACAAACTCCCGGGCAATGTACCCAGGACCGGCGATCACCAGGCGCTGGCTCTTGCTCACGACCATGTACCGGTCGATGGCATTCGAAACCGCCGTGAAAAACCTGCGCATCGGGTGTCAGCTTGGTGCACAGCAACCCAGACCGGCGTCTGGGGGAGAGGCAGAGAGAGAGAGAGAGAGGCAGAGAGAGAGAGGCAGAGAGAGAGGCAGAGAGAGAGGCAGAGAGAGAGAGAGGCAGAGAGAGAGGCAGAGAGAGAGGCAGAGAGAGAGAGAGGCAGAGAGAGAGGGAGAGAGAGAGAGAGGGAGAGAGAGAGAGAGGCAGAGAGAGAGAGGCAGAGGGAGAAGGGGGGGAGGAGGAGAAGGAGGAGTGCGCACTTTTGGGTGGCCTTTTCGACCTCCTCCGGGCGCCGGGCATTCTTCGGGATGGTTTGCTCGATGCGCGCATAGACCACCGTGATGTTGTTGGACACCGAGCAAACATGGGCCAGGCCAGAGTGCATGGCGATCACATTGACCGTCGAAGGGTGCACGGTCTTCTGGTTTCTGGACAGATCGGGCGGCAAAGCCGGAGGAGGGGGAACGGAGAAGAGCCAGGTTAGACACCAGCCCGGCGGAGGGCGGACATGGGTGGCAAGGGAGCAAGGTCGTACTCCTTCAGGTGCTCCACATCCTCATGCTTCCAAATGTCCCGGCTCAGGGAGAAACTCGTGTTGGTGTCGATCTTATGCGTGAAGTGCGAAATGCTGTCCTGGGACTGATGGCAGTCCGGGAGGAGGTGAGCACACACGGCCGGCGAAAGAGGCCCGACTCCGGGGCGTGCTTGGGGAGCCTTGCGCAAGACGCACATCACTGAAGTCCAGCGTATTCCCGCGGATACGTAGCATCTGAGCCAGCGGGTCAAAGTCGATGTGGGTCACCTGAATCGAGATGTGGATCGTATGGTGGACCACCACCGTGCGGCCACTGGTCCGAGTGGAGGAGACATTGCTGCACAGGGGGGGGGAGAGAGACCCACGCACACACCGGCGCACACGCGCACGCCCACCCAATCAAGGGGGGGAGGGAGGGGCGAGGGGGGGGGGGGGGGGATTAGCAACACCCACAAACTGACACAGCCGGTCGGGAGGCGCAGGGGGAAGCCAAGGGAACGCCTCGACGCGGGAGGGCCTCACGCACTAGGAGCCCTGGGACCGGATAACATCATTCGGCTGGATGAAGTTGTAGAGAAACCACAGGTCCTCGATGCCGGATGTCTGGATGGAGATCGGGCCCGTGGACAGGGCATTGAGGTTGGCCTTGATAAGCATGGCAGACCGGCTGCAGGCGACAAAGGTCGTGGGGGAGGGTGTCCAAGAAGAAGAGGGCCGACAGGGAGAGACAGAAAAAAGAGGCGAAGGAGGGAAAGAGGGCCGGAGAAAGGGGGGAGAGAGAGAGAGAGAGAGGGCCAAGAAGAAGCCAGCAAACTAAGGAGTAGGAGAAAGAGGAGGGCGCCGGGGGCCGAAGCCTGCTTCCTCTTGGGGCACGGCTCACCGGGCCACGGCATTTTGCTGGACCACCCCGGCCGATCGGGGTTTTTGGTATTGCGTCATATGATCTCCCCTCTGGCCCCCTGACCATTCCCGGCCCCCCAACGCCGCACGCGTCTGATGCACATGCCCAGACAGGGCCGGCCCTCGTGGGACCCTCGTCCCGCCCGCCCGCCCGCCCCCCGCACACACACACCCGGAAACAGACGGCCAGACGCAAGGAACCAAGATCGCAGGAAGCCCGACACAGGGCCAGGGGAACCGGCAACAAACAAAGAGAAAGAGGCTCACGAGCGTATTCTGTCATGTACGCCATATGCGTGCCCACGACGTCGCGTGTGAAGGAGGGGGAGAGAGAGAGAGGGAGGGAGGGAGGGAGGGTCGCTCATACACAATTGCGCGCCATTTGGCGATGGCAGCGCCCTTCCCTGTGTTTACTGCAAGAGAAGAGGCGTGACGCTCTCGGGAGGTGTAAGAAAAAGAAGAGGTGTACAAGTCGGTGGAGAGTGGAAGGGCCCACCACCCGCGGGGGAGCACGAAGCGCAGCTGTACTGGCTGCGGTCCGCGCGCGCACGCCCCCCCTCCCTCCAAGAAGGATCCCGGTACCGGGATCTCCTCTCCGTCAGGCATGTGTGCACAGCAGCACAGGGGGGGAGGGAGCAGGCAGGCCTTATTTCTTGGCGACCTTCCGGGGGCGCTTCATGTACTTCTGGCGCTTCTTCTTGCTGGCCGAAAGCGGAGCGGCCACAATGACATCCTCATCCGGCCCGTCCGAGGGGCCACCCTGCTCGGGAGGATCCAGGGCCACACTGGCGACGCCGGCCGTCGCCGCAAGGACCATGGCCCGCCTGATGACGGACGACACCAGGGCCATGGCGACGGCCGCCGCCGCCGCCGCCGCATCCGTCGACTGGCCAATGGCCACATCCGCGAAGTCCAGCACCGGCGCCCCGGCCAGCCAGGCATCCCCCCTGGCCGCCGGTGTACGGGCCGCCGCCGCCGCCGGGAGCCGCGCAGGCCGGCTCTCCTTCGGGCCCTTCGAAGTGTCCTTCAAACTGTCCTTCGAGCTGCCCTTGGAGCCGGCCCCTCCCGCCTTCGAGGGGACCCCCCGACAGGGGACATCCTTCGGCGCCGGCATGCCCTTGCCCGGGCTTGCTTCCCCCCTGGCGAGGGCCTTCCCCTTGCCGGCGGACGGCTTGGCATCCTTGATCGAGGGGCCAATGGCTGCCTTGTCGATGGCAACCACCGGCTCCGCCGGGGGGGGCGCATTCGCCCCGGCCACCGGCGGCACAAATGGTGTCACCGGCATGCCGGCCGAGAAGCACCTGACCGAGAAGGTGGTGAAGAGGAAGTCCGCCGGGCCAATCAGGGTCCCCGGCAGCGGGGCCGGATACAAGCTCGTATACTCGAGCGACACCTCGAGCTTGCGTTGCGTCAAGCGCCGATCGGTGCCGGCCAGCCGGTCCAGGAATTCGGCCGCCTGGTCGGTGTCCCGGTTCGAGGCAAAGGCCTCCGGGGGGAAGATAACCGACACGGTGGCCTCCTCGGCCTGGCCGCCGGCGGCCGTCGCCGCCGCCGCCGCCGCCGCCGCCGCCTCCTCCGACGGTGTGGCTTCCGGCAGGCCGGTCATCAGCCGGAAATAGGCAGCCGCCTCCGACCGCCGGGCCTCACTCGACCACAGAGGATGGCTCCACTCCGGCTGCAGACGCCGATTCACCAGCAGCCCGGCCTTCTCGAGAATGCCCCAATACAACTGCCCGTCCCAGTAGTTGCTCTGGCAATTGGGGCAGTGGAAGAAGGCCCGCGGCGGGTGCGACGAGCAGACAATGTGCGCCTGCGGCGGCTTCGGCAAGGTGCCCGCCTTCGCCAGCGGACACTCACGAAGGCTGTTGTTGTTGCACCGAGGGCAGAGGGTGAACACCTCGAAGGGCCGCACCCGCCGGTGCAGGGCCGCCACCGCCTCCGGCGCCAGGGGATCGTAATTCAACGGCCCGGGCTTCTTCGAGGGGTTCGGATGTCGATACTGCAGGGCCGACCCCTCCGGCGCCACGGCATACGAGCAATGGTCCAGCACCAAGGCCAGGCGCTGCGAGTGCGGGCCCGTATAGAGCAGGTGGAATTGCCATGCCTCCGGCGCCCGGCCCAGGAGCTTGGTGTATGCCGCGATGAAGGGCACCAGCCGTGGCCCGGTAGACAGGAGCACCCGCCCGGAGCAGTAAATGTACATCGCAATTTCATCCGCCGTCAGGGAAAGGTCTTCGCCCGGAACATGCGACACGAGAGGCGTTAGCCGAGAACACCGAGCAGCCGCGAGGAACCCAAATGAGAGCCGACACGCGAGGGCGCACTCGGGGAGGAGGAAGTGGCAAAAGGGGAAGGAGGAAGAGGGAAAAAGAGAAAAAAAAACCAGGCAAGAACGCATGCCCCATCGGGGAACACCCGACACCGGGCCACGCACCCAGCGACACGGTGTCGATGCCACACTCCCGCATGAAGGCCGCAAACACCCGGTTCGAGTGGTCCACCGCGAAGCGGAAGAGGTACGGCGATGTCGGGCACCGAGGCGCCCCGGGCAGCGGAAGCCCCACGGCCGGCACCCCACGCGCGACGACCTCCGGCGTGATGGGCGACAGCTCGGTCTGACGACGGCGATAATCCTCCACCGTTTGAAGGATCGGCCCGACGTGCCCGGTGGGAATCGGCTCCTCGGGCACTTGGGCATGCTGCTGCGTCAGCTGGGCCGCCTTCAGGGCGGCCTGCTTGCGGCTCTCGCGCTTGGTGACGCCATGCGGCGCATGGCCAGACTCGGTCCCGGGGTCGGCCCCCGGCGTGCATTTGGAGGCTGGTGCCGAACTCGCTGTCCGGCCCGCCCCCGGCCTCGGCTCTGGCTGCGGCTGCGGCTGCGGCTGCGGCTGCGGCTGCGGCTGCGGCTGCGACTCGGGCTCGGGCTCGGGCTCCAGCTCCAGCTCCGGATCCAGCTCCGGATCCGGCTCCGGATCCAGGGGCAGATCCGGCTCGGATCCGGACTCCTGGTCCGAGGTGAGCTCCAGCTCGCTCGGCTCATCGAGGGCGCCATCCTCAGCCGCGGCCGGCTCGGCAGCGGCCTTGGCCACGGACCGGGCCACGGCCTCCGGGTTCGGCGCCACCGCGGCCCGGCTGGCGCCACGGGTGCCCGGCCGCGGCCCAACCACCGGCCCGGCTGCCAATGCCAATGCCAATGCCGAGGCCGAGGCCGACGCCGCGGCCTCCTTGTCTTGGGGCAGGAAGTTGACCGTCCGGCGCTTTTGCCGCATGATCCGGAAGAAGAGGTCCAGCAGGACGGTCGAATCGGCCAGGGCATACTGCAACTGGCGCAGGGGCAGCGGCCGCTGGGTCCAGTTGCTCAATGTCACGGACTTGTCCAGGCCCACGCCAAGCAGCTGCAGGGCCAGGTCGGTCAGGCGCCGACGGTCGCTCGGACCGGTGACGGCAAACCGCAAGGTCGACAGCAAATTCGACAACGGCCGAACCAATGACACGCCCTGCAAATCCCGGCTGCCAGTCATCTCCGTGATCTGGGCTATGTCCGCCCCAAACCCATGCCCAAGCCGGTGGAGGTGCGAGGCCGGCTGCCCGAGCAGACGCCGCAGCAGGGCCACCGCCCGCGGCGAATGGGCCTCGATGTCGGAGAAGTCGATGATCCGGAAGTCGGTGGTTCCCGTTTGCCGGGTGAAAGTCCGAGTCCCGCCGGACCCCGGGGGGCCGGCCGCCATGTGGCACCAGACCACCTGCATGACGGACACCTTGGTCTTGTGGAAGCGCCCGAAATTCGGCAACCACTCGCAATCAAACGCGGCCAGGGTCGAGAGCCGCCCATCGGGCGAAGGCGCCCGGAGCAGCTGCTCCACCAGCTGCTCCAGCTGATCCAAATCCCGCACCCAGAAGGATTGCTGCTGCTGCTGCGACGGATTGGCCGCCAGGCGTTGGAGGAACTTCCTGGGCGGCAGGTAGATCGCCTGGCGCTGGAAGCCCAGCTGTCCCAGGGGCGACTCGGGCCCAAGCATGTCGCCGGCGCCGGCCACCAGGGCCCGGCGCCGGTCGTGCGAAAGCGACAGCAACTCCCCGACCGTCATCTGGCCAAAGGGCACGTCGGCCGGTAAACAACGCAAGTCCGAGATCGGGGCACCATGCTCTCGTAACTGGGCAATCGGCAACCGATAGTACAGGTAGTCCGTCACCAAACCCAAGTACGGGAGGGCACGCTCACACAGGAGAGCCAGTGACCGGAGCTCGGCGCTGCTCGGCTCCACCGACAAGCCCACCGCAAGGCCATACTGGTGGACGACCGATTCGATCGGGCCGCGGGCCGCAGGCGGCTCGGCCGCCAGGGCATTGGCGATGGTAAAGGCAATGCCATTCAGGGTATCAACGATGAACCAAAAGGCATCGAGGACTGTCGTGACATCCCCACCCCCATGGCGCAAGGAGAAGCGTGAGTGTGCGAAGCCGAGAGAGAGAGAGAGAGAGAGAGAGAGAGAGAGGCCCAGCCGGGAGGAGCGGCGATGCATGGATCCGGCGCCCGTGCCCGGCCGACCGCCATAACCGGGCCAAAGGAGGTAGTCCAGAAAGGAAAAAAAGGAAAAGAGGGCCACCCCCGGGAAAGGCCAAGGGAGCCCGCAAACGACAAAGAGGTACCTTTCTCGCAGGAAGGGAAGTCCCCGAGGGCATCCGTCAGGACATACGCCGCTTGGCTGGGCGACGGCCGCGATCCCAGGTGCTGCCACTGATCGGTGGCGTCTTGGCCCAAGACAAAGTCCATGCATGCCCCGGGGCGCAGGGCAAAGAGCTCGGAGCAGCGGTCCACCCAGGTCCAATTCAATCGGCGAATGTCCCGCTGGAGGGTGTTGGAGCAAAGTTGCACCAGGCCGATCAATCGCGACTGGCCGAAAACTGCCCAAGACCCAGGAAGGAGGGGCGGTTAGTGGGGGGGGGGGGGCCGGCAGCGTGCATGGGCAAAGAGGACCGGTGCGGCGTCACCATGCCGGAGCGCGACAGGGGGGGCAAAAAGAGGAGAGCAGCGCCAGCACGCACACAAGGATGACGGCTGGTCAATGTGGCCCGTGGCCGGGGCCCCGGAGCGCTGCTGTGCCAGCCAGCTGGGCAGGAACACCCGGCCACGGGCTTCCAGGCACTGGAGGACCGTTCGCAGCATGCCAATCCGCTGGAAGGCCAGCAGCGCCAGCCGGTGGTGGTTGAACTGCTGCTGCAGCAGGTCCCCCGGGAAGTGGGCAAAGTGCCGCGCGGCCAGGGTGATATCGCGCGATGCGGCCACCTGGGCCTCAATCGCCTCGGCCACCAGGTGCTGCTGCTCGAGGTCCGACAGGCACCGGTCCAGCAGGGCCAGCAGCGGCAGGCCGGCCAGCAGCGGCCACACGCGCGCGGCGGTGGCAAACTCCAGCACCCGCACCGGATCCGCGGCCTGCCCGATGGCCAGCAAAAGCCCGGCTCGAAGGAACCCCATGAAAGCCAGGTGGGTGCGAAGGTTTTCCTCCAATTGCGGATTCGACGAGCACCGCAGCGAGTCACGCACATCGCCGCTCGAATAGAGCCGGTCCATGGCGCACTGGGCTGCCAGCAGGCTGCGCAGCAAGCCGGCCGGCACTCGTCCAGCCGAGGCCAGCAATGGCCGGCAGCTTCGAGCACAGGCCCTCTCGGCCGCCGGGTCCAGGCCGGCCCGCGACGCCAGGTACCCAGCCAGCCGGGCCTCCAGCGGGACCTTCGAGCTTGGCCCGGCTCCCATGCACAGGGACCCGCACTTGGGGGACATCGGCATGCGTGCCACACTTGCCAGGGGGAAGGCCGGCTCCGTGGAGGAGCCGCCGGCTTCGGCCGTCGGAGCGCGCCAATCCTCCCCCAGGACCGGGCACTCGACCAGTTGCTCGGTCAGCACCAGGTGCGCGGATTGCTTGCCGATCATCGCCAGCGCCGTCGGCCGGATGAAGGTACAAACCGCGAAGAAGGCCCCCATGCTGAGGCCATGGATGCGCACTGGCGGGGGGGAGGGGGGAGCGGGGGAGGGACCATGAACAGGACAGGGCCGAGCGAAGGTCAGTATGCAAGCTCGCGTCTCGGCGCCACCCGGTGGGGGTGACCTCCGAGCCAGGAGGCGCAAGGAAGGGGGATCCACATACCGGCGTCCACCAGGAGCCTCTGCATGCCCAGGAAGAAGGCCTTCTTGGGCAGGTCAATCAGGCAGGCAACACGCTGCGCCAACAGGCCGAAGGGGCTCGCGATGGCCGGCTGGCCCCAAGTACCCATCAACATGGAGCCGGGCCGAGTTTGGTGGCGATCCGCCGCCAACAGCAGCGCCACGGCCATCGGCAGGGTGAGCATCTGGAGGCGGAAACACCCTGTGTCGTGCGATCGCGAATGGCGGATGTCAGCGCATTGGCAGGGGCAGGTTTGGCGGGAAGAAAAAGAAGGGCAGCGGCGGCGGCGGCAGGGGGGGGGGGGGGGGAGGCGGAAACCCCATTCGCACCGGCATCATCGATCAATGTCGAGGAAAGATGCCCGGAGGAGGATGACGCGGAAGACCCCGGCCCTGGGGACGCGCGGCCCGGCGAAACAGGCGACTGGTCCCGGCGCGAGTGTGGCGTGCGATCCTGCGAAGCGAGAACCCGCAGTGAGGGCTCAAAGTGCTCGAATAGCTCGTCAAGCAGTTCATTCAGTTCATCAGCCGTGAGGTTCCTATATCGTTCGGGGATGGGGGGAGCCTGTTGCCACAGGGCGGGCTCCTCCGGCTGCTTCGGCTGCTTCGGCTGCTTGGGCTGCCTCGGCTGTGCGGGATGCTCGGGCTCCTCCGGCCGGGGCGGATGCTCGCATTCATCCTCATGCCCGGCGCTCGGGCCGTCGGGCTCGGGTGACGTCGCCCGGGGAGGGAGCTCGGATGCGGCCTGGTCCGTGGCGGCCAGGCTGACGCTCGATGGGGATGGACTTGTCTGCGCACTGGTCGGCTCCCCGGCGCCAGGGGGGAAGAAAAGCCGCGCGATGAAATCCAACACCATGTGCGAGGGAAGTGGGGCGTGCTCGGCGCCGATGGCCGGCGAGTCGGGCCAATCGAACGCCGCCGCCGACAGGGCCGACGGCGAGACAGCCTGCGAGGGCGCCGGCGGGGCATGGGGCGGAGGCGGGCCAAGGCCATCTGCCCCGGCAGCGGCAGCGGCCATCGGCGACATGGCGAACGGGAGGGGAAGGCGCAAGGGAGGCGAGGGGGCAATCGGGCGGCGCGAGGGCGGGCAAGGAAGGAGGACGGGCTCCCGGGCGCCTGCGTCGAGAGCAGGAAAGCAAAAAGGGCGGCAGGGGGCGATCAGGCAAAAAGAAGGGGGGTCAGGGAGGGGATCAGATCGACTGATCTCGCGGATGGCCGCAACATCCACCGGAGACCGGGGCCCAGGCTGGGGCCACTTGACTGAGTGGCACCGCCCAGGTCCGGGGCCCCTGTTGGGCGGGGGGCACCAGCCCGGCCCCGGCCCCGGCCCAGGGGGAGAGAGGCAAGGCGGTCCATCGAAAACCTGCCGCCCACCACCACCACCTCCGACCACCCCCGGGGCCTGGGAACGCAGCCGGCCCCGGCGAGAGGGCGCCCCGCGAGGGGGGGGGGGGGGGAAAGGCGGCGAGACCGCGCCGACCCTTCCCAGGAAAATAGGACGGGGGCGCGGAATATTTGCAGGGCGACGGACCGGCGTGAACGCCGGCTCCGTGGGTGTCGACGCCTGCCGATATCATGCGTGCGACTTCTGCCTCGGCGCGGCCTCCGGGGGCATGACGCCCCCACCCATGGTGCTGGGCCCCATCCCGGTGGGGCGCCCCCCGCCCCCCCCCCCGCTCCCAGGCCACCCCTTCGCCATGCCCGGGCCGCCCTGCGCCACTGCGGGGACACCACGGACGGCTGGCCCGGGCAGGTTTTTCTGTTCGCCGGAAAGAATCGTCAACAGCCTGCGGCCTTTGCCCGAGCCCAGGCGAGGCAGGGCGGCGGGGGCGAGATGGGATTGAATGGAAAAGAATCGCCGGGAACAATCACGGGCGGTCAGGCGGCAGTGGAACTCCAAATTACGCAATCCCTCAGCGTGGCTGTTGGAAAGTTCCCCCGCGGATCACGTCCAGCTGCCCCCGAACACGCCGAGGGGGCGGGCTGACACAAATTCGACGAAAAACGGCATGTTAATGTGATCTCCGCCGCCGGGGAGCCTCATCAATCCGCGTCGATGGTTTAGTGGTAGAATTGCCGCCTGCCACGCGGTAGACCCGGGTTCGATTCCCGGTCGACGCAATTGATCCCTCCTTTTTGCCCCACCGACCATACCCCCTCTCCCCGGCGAAAGGCCAATCGGGCCACTTGCGCCCGTGTGTCTCGAGAGCCTCTGATCATCTTGCGGAGAGCGCGGGGCCGAGGTAAGAGAGGCCGAGGGGCGGGGGAGGAAAAAAAAGGAAGCGAGGCGGCATCGACGGGGTGACAGGGGCGAACCGGGGCCCGCGCTGTTGCTGTTGTTGTTGTTTTTTCTTCCCCTTTTCGAAAAACAGTGAACATGTATATATTGGGGACAAAGGCCCTGGGGGGGGGTTTGATCAGTCTCTCCGCCGCCCGTCTCGCCCTGGGAGACGGTGGGCTCTCCACAGACGCACGGGCTTTCCTCTTGCGATGCTTCCCCTCGCACTACAGCGGGCTGTTCTAGAGAAGATGGTATTCACCCAGAGCAGGGAGGAGGAGGAGGGCCATGCCGGCCCGCCCAGGGCACCGAAGAAGCAGACGGGAAGGGAGGGCACAGGCCGCGGGCAACCGCGAGCGGCGACCGGGGGATGGGGAAGGACAAACGACCCGCAGCGGCGGGCTCAGTGCTTGGCAATGTAGCGGTTGACGTCGTTCTCGAAGCGCTTGGCCACCTGCTCGAAGGCCGGGATCTGGGTGAGGAAGCAGTCATCGGTGTCGCGGCCACCAACATGCTCGACGCAACGGGAAACCTCGTTCTGGTGCCGGAACCGAGAGGGCGAACAGAGGACGGAGACATCAGTATAAGGAGGGGTGGGGGGGGGTGAGCCGGTGCCCGGAGACCGGGCAGGGCAGAGGGCAAACACAGGGACCGCGAGGAGGAGCGAGGGGAGGGACATGCGGGGCGTACAATCACGCGCTCCTGGCCGTGGGCGAGGACCTCCTCGAGCTTGCCAAAGTCATCGTTGACAGCGCTGATGCAGTTGAGGGCATCCTCCTGGCTGCGGTAGCGCTGGGTGTCATTCAGGCAGTCGAGCTCGAGCTGGGCCGAAACAATC